CCCCCCCCCCCCTCCCCAACAGACCAGACAATTTTATCTAGAGTCCTAAACTTTTGGTGCACATTTTTTATTTCTCATGGCTATTTAAAATTAAAAGAACCTCATAAACATAAAAACAAACCTTGTAGGCATAAACAAAATTCAGTAAACAAAGTTCAATTCTACTTATTTTATTACCTGAACTTTTATGTTGAGTGACACTAAAGTAGGCTTATTAAATTATGGTTTCACTTACTTGTGTCAACCTCGGTTACAACAATAGGTTTAGAAAACTGTATTCGAAAGCCCCAAGGATAGTCTCCCATCCCATTGTTGATCTTGACCGTCCGTTCTCGAACTGAAAGGGAAAAATAAGTTTTTAGGACGTACTAAGATATGCAACATTTTGCAAAGTTCTGGGAACAAAATGCATACAACTTGAACACTTTCTCAGAAACCTCAACAGAGTTCAGAAACCACATGAGCTAAGAAATATAAAGTTAGTTTTCTTTAGCTTACTTGAAACAGGACGAGTTATGGTTTTGAGACTGAGCAGAATCTCCCCTGGGCTCACATCATCTCCTTGGTAAATCCATGCTGAGGAGTGGAACGTCTCTGTGTAAAAGCCAATGTCGTCATCGTTGTGAACTGCCATGTCTGTGGAATGTGTGTCCTCTGATACTTGAAGAAACACAACACATGTTAACGCATGGAAGAGCACAGTCCACTTCTGACACACAAAACACAATGATGATAAGTAAGAAGGACCCAAATGCAGGCAAGGAGGAGGCAGTTCCATAACCTTGATAAGATTTGTTTTATAGCAAAAACTCATAAACAAAGAAGTTGGCAAAAGGGCAGGATATGCAAGAAGACAATCTTATATAATAGTAGTGGGAATTACAGTTGGGAGGTGGAAGAAATACTTCTCGGACCTTCTCAATCCCACTGACATGTCTTCCATGTAGGAAGCAGAGTCAGGGGACTTCGGGGTTGGTCTGTCCATAACTGTGGCTGAGGTTGCCGAGGTAATTAAAAAGCTCCACAGCAGCAGGACTCCAGGAGTGGATGAGATTCGCCCTGATTTCCTTAAGGCTTTGGATGTTGTGGGGCTGTCTTGGTTGACATGCCTTTGCAACATTACATTGACATTGGGGACAGTGCCACTGGATTGACAGAATGGGCAGACTGCTTCCCTTCTTCAAAAAGGGGGACGAGAGGGTGTCCTCCAATTACAGGGGCATCACTCTCTTTAGCCTCCCTGGTAAGGTCTATTCAGGAGTACTGGAGAAGTGAGTCCAATCATTGGTCGAACCTCTGATCCAGGAGAAACAATGTGGGTTCCATCCTGGCCATGAAACACTGGATCAGCTCTTTACCCTCACTAGGGTCCTCAAGGGGTCATGTTTGCTCATCCAGTCTACATGTGTTTTGCGGACTTGGAAAAGACATTCAATCGTGTTCTTCAGGGTAAACTGTGGGGGGTGCTCCATGAGTATGGGATTGTGGGCCCGTTGTTACAGGCTGTTGACTCCCTATACAAGCAGTGCAAGAGTTTTGTTCGCATTGCAAATCATAAATTTGCATAGTAAGTCGAACCCCAGGGTGGGAGTTGGACTCCACCAGGGCTGCCCGTTATCACTGATTCTGTTCGTAACTTTTATGGACAGAATTTCTCGGTGCAGCCAGGGAATAGAGGGAGTCCAGTTTGGTGGCCTCAGGATTCCATCTCTGCTCTTTGCAAATGATGTGGTCCTAGTGGCATCATCGTGCCATGATCGTCAGCGCTAACTGGAGCGGTTCACACCCGAATGTGAAGCGGCTGGGATGAGAATCAGCACCTCCAAATCTGAGACAACCGGAAAAGGGTGAATTGCTCACTTCAGGTCGAGGGTGAAGTTCTGCCTCAAGTGGAGGAGTTCAAGTATCTTGTTTTTTTCTTTTTCAGGAGTGAGGGAAGAATGGAGCATGAGATTGACAGACGGATTGGTGCAGCATCTGCTGTATTGCGGACTCTGTACCAATCAGTTGTGGTGAAGAGAGAGCTGAGCTGTAAGGCAAAGCTCTCTGTTTACCAGTCGGTCTACGTTCCTACACTCACTTATGGTCATGAGCTTTGGGTAGTGACTGAAAGAATGAGATCGTGGATAGAGGTGGTTGAGATGAGTTTCCTCTGCAAGGTAGCTGGACTCTCCCTTACAGATAAGGTAAAAAGTTCAGAGTAGAACTGCTGCCTCCGCAACATCGAGAGGAGCTAGTTGAGGTGGTTCGGGCATCTGGTAAGGATGCTCCCTGGGCACCTCCCTAAGGAGGTGCTTCGTGCATGTCTGACTGGGAGAAGACCCCGGAGAAGACCCAGGACATCCTGGAGAGACTATGTCTCTCGGTTGGTCTGGGAAAGCCTTGGAATCCTCCCAGAAGAGCTGGAAGAGGTGGCTGTGGAAAGAGATATCTGGGCCTCCCTGCTCCAGCTGCTGCCCCGGTGACCCGATTTCGGAACAAGCAGAAGATGATGGATGGATGGGAATTATAGTTGTATAATTTCATCATGGCTGCGCTCAAAAATATTGTATAATTTAGGCAACTGTGTCACAGTTAGAGCTTTAACGTTAACTTTCAAAATTACCTGATTCTTCCGTGATGTCACTTGTTACTGAACTTCCACCTGCAGAGCTCCAGTCTCTGCTCTCCTTGAAGAGTTTTCGTCTTTTAGCCCAGTGGTCAGTGACGATGCTGTCTCTGTCTTTATGAAGCACATACTTTAGATGCTCCTTTGTCTCAGAGGAAGCTGTCGTTAAAGTAAAGTCACAGGAAAAGAGTTTTATTTTTTAAAAGCTGAACTTTTTTTTTCCAAATAAGTTCAGGTTTTTTTTTATTGAATTTGAAGAACCATTACTACTTACATCTTAACACAAGTTGGTCTACTTTGCCACGCTTAAGGAACAGCTCTTTTGCATTGACCACTTTGTTTGTGTGATATAAAGAATTGTCTGCTGGTTTCTTTGACTTTTCCGTTGCAGTTTCTTCTTCAGCAACCTTAGCATTTTTTGTCTCATCACTCATCAGCTGCAGAGCATGGCTGCTGACTGTCTGTTCAAGTGGTTTAGGTTCAAACTTCTCCTCAACTTCATTTTCCTTTGACAAATTCACATCTACGTGCCGTGAAGTGGGCATGCAGATGACTTCTAAAGCGCTTTGAAAAGATTTTTCTGCACAGCCTTCTTTACTTAGTGACAGTTTTGAATCCTCCTGCAGGAAGTTTGTTCTGAGTGGATCAGCAGACTCTGTCATAACTGGGGACTGACTATGTCCTGGTGAAACTAAAACTGAATCATTTGTTCTTGAACATTTAGCTTCTTCATCTTTCAGTGACATGTAAGGATCAATGTGTGTCATTTGTTCCTCCGAGCCACTGCAAGGAGGAGGAATGACCCTGTTAGCCAAGCCTCTTTGGTGCCCTTCCTCTCCTAAGTGTTCTGGACTGTAAACTATCCCCATGTCAAGTCCCATGTCCACTTCTCTTTGATCATCTTTATGGTCACAATCAATAATGCTCAGTTTTCGGTCAATAACCTGTTGCTTTGTGCTGCTTTGACTTTGGTCATGTTCACAAGTCGGACACAGATCACGTTTATTGTTTGAACTTGTAAAACAAAAAGACGTCAGAAATGGTAGTTCTTCTTTTGGTGGTTTTGGGACCTCCAAGACAGGCTCAAAGCTTGCCCTTCTTTCAAACATAGAAAACCTCTTATCAAATAGATTCCGCTTTATGAGCCTTTCAGATTGGAAAGGAAGCGAGCAGATGAGGAAAGAAGAAAAAGATTTGTGGCACGGCAACAGAAGATCCTCTTCCATCAATGCTGGACCCACCGACGTCCCAGGAAAGGTCTGTCGCCGCTTCTTTAGCAACGAGCACAGTCTGTTCTCAACTGTGGGAATGCTGTTCTTTCTCATCCAAGAGTTTTTCCTTTGACAGTAGATGAAATCATTTGTAAAGCTAGACCTATTGGTAGATGTGGAGGGTCTCCTGAACATGGGTTCACAGTTATCAGATTCTGATGACAGCTCAAAGACTGTCATATCTTTTCTTTCCTCTGCTTGACTAGAAAACAGGGATCCAGATTCTGTGGAGTAGTTTCTAAGAAATGACCTTTGGTGTTCGTCAGCAGGACTACAAGCGGTAATCCTAACAGAAGCCAGGTCTTCTGTCAGGTCTTCTAATGTGTTGTACTTCCTGTCTTCAGGCTGTTGAATTGGTGGAAGGTGACCCAGTTGATCTTTAAAGTCGACGGTCTTTTGTTGAGTATGATTACTGCAGCACTGACAGTAAGTCGGTTTGCCCCACGTGTTTGTTGAGCAGACAGATTTAGAATCGATCTCTGTTTGTTTGCTCATTCTGCCGCATGCAAAGTTGGTAGTGATGGTTTGATTTTTATTGTGACTGGTCCCAGTTTGCGACGGCTGCGCCGACGACTCACGGTCGGGGGTCCATGTTCTTTCACATTTATGCTTAACAACCATTTCAGCGATGTCCTGGTTCTCATTCATGAAAATGCACGTGCTCTCAATGCCATACGCGTTGACTTCTAGAGTTTCTTGAATTTCAAGTTTCATGCGCAGTTCGGTGCAGTTAATGTTAAAGATGTTCGTCACGGGTGTTGATGAGTTGCTTGAACTTTCAGATGACGGTTCACGTGACTGCTGGAAAATGACCTTTGGAGAGGAGTTTTCCATGTCATGAACAGACACTGAAGTTACTATTTTCACTGCTTTCTCTTCAGCCTCTGTAGTTTTGGTGTAAAAGTTTCGTTGTCCTGGAGGAAAATCAACGCTGTACTCTTGTTTGTATTTGTTTTCTTTGCATGCGTGCTCTTTATCTTCAAATTTTGATCGAACAGTTTCCTTTCGAAGAGTGTCGGTTTCACCCTTTTCCACTGTGTCCTCTTTGTAACTGACAGTATTACTTGGGTTCAGCATTGGAATGGTGAAAGGTGAGGGACTTTCTGCAAAAGAAGAGAATTTAATGTTCATTTTATGGTACTATATGCAAATAAAATAAATTTAACCAACATTAGCTATTACTCTACTTCGAAACCTATGGGTAAAATACTGTAATAAATGATAACATGTTGACATAAGCTAGATTTTAATTGTATGGTCATAACTTTCTATACATCCATAGTGGAGCATGATTTCTCCCTGGCTGCAGGGCTCCATTTATCACGTTACACAGCGGGGCCTTTTAGGCAGGTTGGCTTTAGAAGATGTATGTGATGGAAAAACTAAATTTTCAGTATTTATTAAATGTATGAATTTATGCTTTTAATTCGCCAAGGTTCCTATTATTATCAAAACAACAGATCGAGCTCAATGAATGAATTATGGGGTGCTGTTTGTAAAGTTACACAGTCAAAAATTAAAAGCAATATTTTGGTTTGTTTAGCCTTTCATAAAAAAAAAATGGGGGTTTTTTTCAAAGTAATATTTTTACCATGTTATTCATACATTTATAAATGTCATAGTTCCAAACTAAATATTTAATTTACAAGCTAAATATTTAGTTTACAAACTAAATATTTAATTTACAAGCTAAATATTTAGTTTACAAACTAAATATTTAAGTTGAAGTTAAATAGTTAGTATTTATCAGTTATTTATTTATTAGTTACTAAATATTTTGGTATAAATAAATTAAACTAAAGGTATATAAATGAAATCTTCTTCTTCTTCTTTTGGCTTTTCCCTCTTCAGGGGTCACCACATCGAGTCATCCTCCTCCATCTCACTCTGTCCTCTGCATCCTCAGTTCTCACTCCAACTACCTCCATGTCCTCTCTAATGGCATCCATAAATCTCCTCTTTGTCTTTTTCCTGGCAGCTGCATTTCTAACATCCTTCTACCAGTATACCCACTGTCCCTCCTCTGGACATGTCCAGACCATCTCAGTCTGGTCTCTCTAACTTTATCTCCCAGTTGTTCAACCTGTGCTGTACCTCTGATGATCTCATTCCTAATCTTATCCGTCCTTGTCACTCCTAAGGAGAACCTCAACATCTTCATTTCTGCCACTTCCAGTTCTTTCTCCTGTCTTTTTGTCAATGCCACTGTCTCCAGACCATACAACATAGCTGGTCTCACCACTGTCTTGTAAACTTTTTCTTTGACCTTTGCTGACACCTTTTTGTCACAAATCACTCCTGAAACTTTTCTCCATCCACTCCATCCTGCCTGGACTCTCTTCTTCACCTCTTTACCACACTCCCCATTTTCCTGGACAGTGGACTCCAAGTACTTGAAGTCCTGCACCTTTGTGACCTCTGCTCCTTGTAGCCTCACTGTTCCACCTCCTCCCTCTCATTCACACACATGGACTCTGTCTCACTACGGCTGACTTTCATTCCTCTTCTTTCACGTGCATACCTCCACCTCTCCAAGTTCTCTTCCACCTGTTACCTGTTCTCACCGCAGATCACAATATCATCTGCAAACATCATAGTCCATGGGTCCAAAGGTATATAAATGAAATAATAAAATAAATTAAATAAAGGTATAAAATAATTTATACCTAATTGTTTAGTTTATTGACTAAATATTTACGTAGGTATAAATTAAATATTTACACCTAGATATTTAGTTTACTAATTAAATATTTAACTTGCAAGTTAAGTATTTAGTTTAACTAAATATTTAGCTTGTAAATAAAGTTTTTAGTTGGGAACTATAACATTTACATATAAATGTATGAATAAAAAGTTGAAAATATGATTTTGAAAAAATATATATTTTTCTTATTAAAAACCAAATGAACCAAAATATTGATGTTAGTTTTTGACTGTGTAACTTTACAAACAGCACCCCATAATGACTGACTGACAGAATGAATGAATAAAAGCAGGTGGTCTTTTATCACTCAGAGTATGTGTTGAGGAAGACTCAACTACACCGTATGTCGGCTCACTATCTATAACACTAACCTAAATAGCCCTTTTTGTGTTTACTTAGCTTAAATGTGGCAGCCATTTTGAACTGACTCCAAAAATGAATTAGTTGTAGAAATCAAAATATGTTGTAAACCCCATATGAAATCACAGAACTAGATGGGAACAGGATCCCCACAGGCTGCCACCAGTTTTTTTTAAGCTCTCTTTATGTAAAGAAGTGGGACTTTGACTTTACTAAATTTAAAAATGCACTTAAAATATTTGATTTTCAGGTGTTGACTCATTCATCCACAGTTCTTATTGTGCTGCCTTTATGTTCTGATTTGTTTTTGTAATGCATTGATTAAAAGACAGGCCGTGTGACACCACAGAGGAGTAGCGAGGCTTAAAGCCCCACATAAAACGCAGACTCTGATCCTAAAACTACAACATGGCAGCACCCACAATCTTAGCCCTGCTGGATTCATGTCCCAACAATTTCTGTATTAATTTTAAAGCCCTTTTATTTTATGGTTTATGTTCAGCGCCCTGAGATGACTTCTGTAGTGACTTGGTGCTATATAAATAAACTGAATTTATTTTTTGTTGAATGTCTTCATGGTCTCGCCCACAGTTTCCATCTGACTTGCTCCACATGCCCTCTTGCTCTCTCAGGTCAGCAGATCAATTCCTGCTGGTCGTTCCCATCACGGAGGAGGTGGAGAGGTGACCGAGAGTTTTCACTCGCCGCCTCTAAACTGTGGGATGAGCTGCCACTGCACATCAGACAGGCCGACTCACTTCATGTTTTTAAAATTTCTCTTAAAACACTTTATTTCTTTGGCTTTTAACTCAACTTGAAATGCTGGCTTTTATTATTTTCATTGTTTTATTGTTTGTTGTTTTTATGGTTTTAACTTTTTTTTTTTTACCGTTTTTATTGACTTGATTGCTTTTATGTGTTTTTGTCAGTGTACAGCACTTTGTCCAACGGTCTTGTTTTAAAGTGCTTTATAATTAAAGTTGTATAACAATGACAGAAAACAGAGATATTCAGTTCACACACGTGGCTGCAGATCTACATCCAGTGAGTTTCATTAACATCCATTCGTTGGATATTTTACCAACAAAATCTATGTAAGGAAATAATGATGTAATGTGCTGAAGCATAATAATTATTAATTAAAAACTCAACTGCTCTGAAGCAGATATTTGTATTGCCATTCTAACTATTTATTTTTATATGTGTGCTGTCATTTTGCTCCACTGGACCCTCTGTTTAACAGTGGAGTGGATGATCGTGAGTAACAGGAAACAGATCTGACAGAACAGTAGCTGCTTCTGACTCTAACAACATCTGGAAGACGTAACCATTAATATTGTTGTTTAAACTCTGTTGAAATGACAGAAAAATATAATTTTAAATAATAATCATACCTCTGCTGCATTGCCTTGCAAACTGATAAAATATCTGCCAATATGATACTTGCCTGTGTGAGTAATACTGTATCACAAGAAAGAAGTCCAAGGGTTTGACTGGTTGAGGTCCAAACACCAACCAGCAGCAAGCTGGTTTAACATGTGCAGCAAAGCTAAGCACATAATTCAATTGACACACTCCAAGCTGCAGAGATCTCACTCACGTTTGCTGCTGCTGGAGCTCTTCCTCCGGTTGCTGTTCCTTCTCTTCCCCCTCTTGCTCATTCTGAAACGCTCCACTTGTGTCCACTACCAGTCAACATAAAAGTTTTCATTTTCTTTACTTACAAATTAAAATATGCATATTTTTTGGCAAAATAGAGAATAATCACAATACGTGTGACCTCTGATTGTAACTTGTTTTGTGATGTATTTTGGGTTTGAGGTTCTATTTTCTGTGTTCTCCTCATGTAAAACTTGTTTTATCAAAAGATTATAGCCAGTACATTTTTGCGCTCCTAAAACGATTACATGAAACATTTTGTCTGAATGTGCACCAATGTGACAAAACTAAACTGCCACTTGTCTTTCTAACACATTATTACATCACTTATAAATGTATACATAATCTGGAGTTAAAAAAAAAAAAACGGCAAAAATATTTGTGTGCAATGAAGACAAAGTAAATACAGTCAGTCAAATGATATCAAAAAGTACAAACATGACCTTTGTGACACGATGTCTTTTTAAAAGTAGAAGTCAGAGGTTCTTACAAAGTTAAAACATCCCCTGCACATAGTTTAGCCATAAAAAAAGTTTACAACTTACGTATAGATGTCAACTCCTGATGGGTCCTACTGAACAGAAACGTGTCAGAAGATGAAGCTGCTACTTTTCCACGCTCCTCACACCGTCTGCACGTCTCAGACTGCTCTAATTATTGTTACTATTCTTAACTTAAAGCAGCTTACAACATTTAAGCTTATAAGTCGGCAGTGATGCTAGCATAAACCTTGTTTATTTACGCATAGTTTTCCACTATCCTATAGAAATGGAGGCCATGGAAGCAGACAATAATGCAGTCACATGGATGAAATTATGTGTGTGAACAAATATGTGCATGTAAAAGCATCATCACATTTTAGGCGTCCTTCCCGTACAGACTCTCTGCTCATCTGCTAGCACTCCATGAGTGTTAAGTTCTCTGCCCTCATTCATGATCGTGTCGTTACTGAAGTCCATTTCTCATCAGATTGTCCTGGTTCCTCAACATCTGACTCAAACCTTGTTAGTCCAAGCGACGTCCAAGCCATATTGGCAGATGTTCTATGTCTCTCAATAATTTCCCTCTGTGGTAACTTGATGTTTGGACCAGGGTTTGAACCCCTGATCATTAGTTCTAAAGTGAAGCTACAGTACCACTGTGCCATACAACCACAGTTCAAGGTGTCAACAGGCATGTAGTGCCAGCCATCAGATACCTAATAATACCTAATGATGATAGCCTGGCCACTAAGGTTTAACAAGCCAGTGTATCTCTTGTGCTGGTCCCAAGCCTGGGTAAATGGTGAGGGTTGTGTCAGGAAGGGTATCTGACGTAAAACACTTTTTCCAAATCTAACATGCTAGTTCATCTAAGCCACATCATACCAGATCGTTCGATACCCAGGTTAACAACGACCACCATCGATGCTGTTGACAAACAGAGTGCCGGCGGAAGTTGTGCTACTGTTAGTTGAAGACCACGAGGAGGGAAACGTGTCGGGAGACAGAGGGAGAAGAGGAATCAAGAATGTAGGACTGAGGGTTGCAACTCTAAATTAAATGTATTTTCATAAGGGCGGCGCGGTGGAAAAGTTGGTAGAGTTGTTACCTCTCAGTGAGAAGTTTGCCGGTTCAAATCCCAGATGGGGATGACCTTTCTGGGTGGAGTTTGCATGTTCTCTCTGTGCATGCATGGGTTTTCTCCGGGTACTCCGGTTTCCTCCCACAGACCAAAAACATGCATGTTAGGCTGATTGGTGACTCTAAATTGTCTCTAGGTGTGAGAGAGAGAGTGAATGGTTGTTTGGCTCGTTTGTCTCTATGTGTCCCTATGATGGACTGGAGACCTGTCCAGGGTGTCCCCCACTTCTCATACAGTGCCTGCTGGACATGGGCACCAGTGACCCCCGTGACCCAAAATGGAAGAAGCGGGTAAAAGATAATGGATGGATGAATTGAACTGAACACACATTGATACCTGGTGTTCAAACTGCAGAAGACCGCATGAGCATGGACTTTGTTGCAGAAGACTGCCCTCTAGTCCAACATTTTTCAGTCAGGTCATCTGGGCAGTTTCTTTTTTTGTGCTGAAACGTTTCGCCTTCGATCCAGAAGGCTTCATCAGTCAAGAAAACACACCACAAAACTGATTCTTCCCCTAACAGCTTACTCCAACGTGGAACAAACCAGTTCTGCTTGTGATTAGATGGTCTCTTTGATACGCCCCTCCTCCATTGCCGGCCCTCTTCCTTGTTGACAGTCTTGTCAAACTGGTCGAAAACAACAAAGTCCATGCTGCCCTCTAGTGTTTGGGACCAAATGTGGAGGATTGACTGGGTTAAACATAATGTCATGTTGGAAAATGCTAAAGTAAACTTTTGCATGTCATCTAAACAAGATAATCTGTTCATACACAACAAATTATACTAAGACAATAATTTATTAATGTGTCATAACAATTTCATTAGTTTGGTTTGAATACAGAACTAAGGGTAAAATTTAATTCTCATAGTATGCTTGTCTTCAAAGATCTTTTGTTTGTCTCTCCATCTCCCACATTTGCACTCTGC